TGTTTGTTTGGGGGTGGGGCATTGCTATTATTTTACAGTTTGAAAGGCTGGGTAAGAGTTGGTAGAGAGATGCTTAAAACTTACCATCCTCTGCTACTAATTCCTTTCCCTGGAATTCAGGAGGAGGGCAGGGACCCCTCTCCCACTAAGCAGACAGAGGCATCTCTGTGCTCTTTGAAGTCAAGTATTCTTCATTCAAGCTCATTTTTTTTGTTGTTGTTTTAGGATTGCTTTGTGAGTGGTTGCTAGGGAGATGGCATAGTATGTAAGGACACTTGCTATGTGAGCATGACACCCTGAACCTGGATTCCCAGAATCTGTATCCAAAAAAGCTAGACTTGACCATGCCGAGAAGTAATTAGACAGGAAAATCATCAATGTTTGCCACCCTGGTTGAGGACCACATTCAACAAGAGAGCTGTCACAAGAGAATAAAGTAAAGGAAGAGAGAGAGGAGGAGAACTGATGTCACCCTTTGTCTTTTGCATGTGCACGCATGTGTGCACACACATACAACACACACACACACACTTAAAATTGTTGTAAAAATGGCTTTTTGAACTATGAAGCCACTCAGTTTCCCTCCTCTCTAATACATATATATATATATATATATATATATATATATCTAGACATCCCATCTTCTCATCTGCCAGACAGTTATTAAAAACAATTTCTTGCAGGGTGGTGGTGGTGGTGCACACCTTTAATCCCAGTACTGGGGAAGCAGAGGCAGGCAGATCTCTGTTAGTTTCGAGGCCAGTCTGGTCTACAGAGTGAATTCCAGGACAGCCAGAGCTACACAGAGAAACCCTGTCTCAAAAGAAAGAAAAAGAAAGAAAGAAAGAAAGAAAGAAAGAAAGAAAGAAAGAAAGAAAGAAAGAACTTCAAAAGTTACTTACTGAGCACTTACAGTCCACAAGTTACATAAGTATCTAGTGGAGTAAATAAGTAGTGGCTGTTCTCAGAGAGACTGCCCTCCAAGGAAAGGCACCCAACAAGAGGGCAAACAGGTGCACAAAGACAAACCGTGAAGACCAGAGCGTGACACAGGTTATCCTGAGGAAAACTTGGAGAATGAGCACACACACTGGAAGGATCGGTGCCTTGCTCAGTTTTGTGGGGCATGGGGACCAGGGGCAAGGGTGTGAACCAGGGCTACATGTGCAGACAGGTTCTCTCCCACTGAGCAAACCCTCCCCGGGGGGCGGTTGTTCAACTTTTTAACATTGTTCATTTCAAGTGTGTCAGGAGGAGTGGGGGTCGGTTGAAGCAGGAGAATAATGATGTGATTTTTAAGTTTAGAAAACACTGAACAAATGAAACCACTTCAAGGGCATTTGTAATAACTGCACGGCATCCCTGGTTTGCAGACATTGTTATTCCCCTTTTAATGACAAAAAGGGTTTGGTGACTTGAAATGATATCCCCTCGAAGCTCAGCTATCAAAAGATAGCTCTAGGCTAACATCTCCCAGCTCTCTCCTCTCAGAGGGACCCTCTTTCTTCCTTCATACAGAGGGCAGAAAAGCCATGAGTTCCTTGGAGCTACTGACCCCACTCCTCTAAGCCCCAAACAATATATATCTTAATAGTGTCTCCTCAACCTTCCCTTCCTTTCCCCATGCCTCTCCAGGGATCTTTGAAAGCCAGGCCTCAGTAGGTCAGAAATCTGCTTGGTGGCTACAATTTCACAAGCAGGAGACTTTACGCCCCTTGGCAAGCCAGAGATGTAAGTAGATTCATTGTACTTTCTGTCAGGGCTCCTGAGGGCATCTCAGCTGTTGGGGAAGGGGGACAGACCCCATTCTCTGCCAGGACCCTAGGGCCAGAGTGTAGGCTAGCTGGATGTAACCACAAGACCTGGATCCCTAGACTCAGTTTCCCCAGCAGGACTTTAGCAGTGTCTTGGGGCCTTCCACACTGCCCTGCAGAAAATGCTCTATAAACATGTCTAAAACTAATGGATTTGTTGCTTCTCAAAAGGACAATCATAGATAACTGCATAGCTGAGCTGATTCAGAGAGATATCCCACTGGAAACCCCTAACTTGGGATTCCTCTCCTCTCCTCACTTGTCCCCACCTTCCTCTTCTCCCTGCTTTATTCTTGGTCCATTGTAGCACCATCTCCTTCAGCCTCTTTCTCTCCTCCTTTAGAATGTCTTCCTTCTGGTTCTATGTTAGCAAGAGATCTCTTCTACTTTGGAAGTTGACAAGAGAGCCAAGGGCCAGAGTGTCCTAAGGAAACCCCTACCTGGTGCCATGGATGGTCGAGCAACCCTACCCCACCCCACCACCCGTGGGCTGGTCATCCTGGGTTCTATAAGAAAGCAGGCTGAGCAAGCCATGGGGAGCAAGCCAGTAGGCAGCACCCCTCCACGGCTTGTGCATCAACTCCTGACACCAGGTTCCCATACTGTTTTGAGTCCCCATCCTGACTTTTTCATTGGTGGACTATGGATATGGAAGGGTAAGCCAAATAAACCCTTTCCTCACAACTTGCTATGATCATGTGTTTCATCACAGCAATAGCAACCCAAACTAAGACACTCAGAACTTCTCCAAGACAAGTATTTGTCTTTTTCATCTCTGTGCTAGTATCTAGTATAGAGGGAGCCTTTTAAAAAGTGTATTAAATAAATAAAGGTGTTGATTTAGTATTTATTATCTGTAATGCCCTACATTACAAAAATGAAGGATGCCAGGATTCTATATCAAGAAATTTGCAGTCTTCCAGAGAAGACAAGTAGCTGTCATCTTGTAGCAGTATATACTATGCACTGTGGAATCCTGTAATAATCTGTCCACCCCTTGGTACTTGTTCCTTAATACACAGTTGGGAGTCATAGAGATGGCTGAGCAGGTAAGGGACTTGTGGCCAATCCTGATGGCTGAGTTAGATCCTCAGGGCCCACATAATGGAAGGAAAGAATCAACTCCCAGAAGTTATCTTCTGACCTCCACACACATGCGATGGCACAGGTATATATAAAAACATACAATATAACAATATAAATAAATATTTGTGCGTGTGCCTTATTTTTACCCAAAGCTGATCATTCTGGAATGTCCATACTTTGAAATGCATATGTTGAAATTTCTTCTTTGACATTAACTTGCAACAAACAAAGCTCTCCATTTCTCTTATATGGATATGACAGTATTTTATTTACCTAGCATCTCTATAAATGGCTATTTTTTCAAAACTAGGAGACATGTTTTACTTTAGTAATTTTTTTTATTCTTTAATTACTATTCATATTTACATATCAAAACCCCCATTCCCTCGCTCTCCCATCCTCCCATGTTCCCCACCAATCCCCCAAGCCATCCCCCAACTCCTCCCCAGGGATAGTGAGGCCCTCCACGGGGGACCATCAAAGTCTGTCATAACACACGAGGGCGGGCTTAGGCCCTCCTTGCTGTATCTGGGCTGCAATAGTATCCCTCCATAGGGAATGGGCTCTCAAAGTCCATTTTTGTGCTCTAGGGATAAAGACTGGCTCCACTGTTAGACTATCTTGGCCTCCAAGCTGGCACCCACATTCAGAAGGCTTGGTTCGGTCCAACACTGTTTCCCCAGCTTTATGACTAGGGTCTCCATGCTCTCAGTCAGGTCAACTGTTTCTGCTGCTCTCTGCAGCACCGTCTTGGCTCCTTTGTTCATCCCTCCTCCCTCTCCACAACTGGATTCCAGGAGTATGGTTCAATGCTTAGCTGTGGGTACCTGTTTCTGCTTCCGAACAGCTACTGAATGAAGGCTCTAGGAAAGGTAACCAAAGTAGACAACCCCAACTAAGAATCCAGGCAGTGGTGGAGAAGATGCCATTGATGCCCTTCCCCTATAAATCTTTTTTTTTAAGTTTTTAAGTTTAGTCAGTGCTGAAAGCCAAAATAGCTCAGTTAGGGGAGCGTTAGACTGAAGAAGTTTAGTCATTGCTGTACTAAAATCACTTTGTCAACAGAGACAGAAAAAGTATCACATGTGCTGGTCAGTTTGAAGTTTTTATTATCAAACTGAACAACCGTCTCTGGCACTCCACAGCTGATTAGCATTTCCTAGGTTCCATATATACTGTGAATAACAATGTAGCTAAGGATGGGATTTGGATTTCCAGCTACCTGTGTGTTGTATCATTCTCACAACCTTCTTTGAATCTGAGTGTGGTCAGTGCTGTCCCCTCCTCCTCCCTCCATCACCATCGCCATCTTCATGATGATAACTCAGAACCCCAGGGTCCCGTCAGAAGCCTGCTGGGAGACTGTCTGCATGTTACTTACTTCTTTTCCTTTGAGGCTTCAAATGTACTCTTTAGCTGCTGTCAGCTCTTCAAGGAAAAAATTTTGACAGGGTATTATGTTGAATTCCACAAGGGACATTTTTCACTTGCCTCCTTGGAGATCTGGTCTGTGGGTTGGGAATGGACCGTGACACAGTTACACTCTCTGGTTTTCAGCAGGGCCTCATAACTCACATTGTGATGTGTGGTGTGTGCCAGGAGAGCTTTGTGTTCCAAGGGGGCATGTTAAATGCAAGACATGGAAAGGTAATAGGAGTGGAGTCCTCTGCAAAACTAATCAGGCATCCCTGAAAGGCTTGGCATTCTAACAGCAAAACATCTGGGGGCTTGAAGGGGGCACTTAGGTATCCAGACATGGACCGCTTTTCCAATCTCACTTTCCTCTAGCAGAAGTAAAAGCTGGCTTCCAGAAGAGACCCACATACAGTCAGAGACACCAGTTGTAGTGAATAAAAATAAAAATTTACCATCAGAAGACTACATAAAAGCCCAGCCAACGTCAACAATCCACCATGCTCCCTTCAGCTACACACACTCAGGCTATGTTCAAGAGTGTTCTCATCTCAAGACAGTGGCTTTTCTTTGAACACACGGTTCACATCTGAGGCAAGAACCCCGTCCTACATATTGGTTGGCTGCTTTAATTCACCCCTTTCCCTAGTTTGATCTCGGCAGCTGTCTCTGATCCAGACAGACAACTTGAGTTTCTAGGACTCTTTACAGTTCTTTCACCCACCCTGAAAGTTCGATTTTCTCATTTGGAATGTGAGTGAAGCAGTGTACCTTTACTGTGGTCACGGTGAAAAGTCTCAGAAATTTGCCTCATGACAATGACTCAGTAAAGGATGTGGCTTTCACGAGTCGCTGTGGGTAAACAACAGAGAGGGACTGATTGCTTGATTCTGCTTCTGAGGAGCCCTGGTTGAAATGCAATTGTACAACTATATGAAAAACAAGTCTCCCAAAAGTAAGTGTAAATTGCCATACAATTGACCAGTTCTACTTCTGGGGTGTACTCAAATAAATGGAAAAGCAGGGGCTTAAATTTATATTTATAAGTGGATGTTTTTTAGCAACTTTAGTCATATTGTCTATCTATGTATGAATAGGTACACACAATTTGGCCTTATAGATGCAGGGGAGTCTAATACATGCGATGACATAGATGAACCTTAAAGACATTCTGGGAAAGGTGATAATGCAGTCATTAAAATACAGACGCTACACAATTACACACATGAGATACCCAGAGTAGCCAAATTCACGGAGACAGAACACAGAATCCTGGTTACCAGCAGCTTGGGAACAATCACGGATTAATAGGGAATCACTAATTCCTGCATCCAGAGTTTCACTGGGGGAAGCTAAGGAGTGTGCAAGTAGATGACGGTGGAGGCTTGAGTCCATGCAAAAGTATTTAATGACACAAAACAGCAGACCTAAAAATGATTAGACAGCTTATGTTATATATGTCTCCCATACCTTTAAAAAAAAGTAATTTGAATGTTACCTAGAAAGGAAGGGAAACCTATTGTTGGATAAGGACAAATTATAAGAGTAATAGGAAACTTGAATTTTCTTTGGGACACATTTTTTTTCATGTATGTAAGGTATATTGCGGCAAAGGACAACTACATCTCATGGGTTCTAGCTTGACAGAGGAACAGGGAGTCAGATTGAGAACAAGGTAGCATAACTGCTTTTTTAAATTTTTTAAATTTGAATTAGAAACAAGATTGTTTTACATGACAATACCAGTTTCCTTCTCCCTCCCACCCTCCCCTACCACCCCCACCAACTAAAACCCTACCTATCACATATCCTTTCTGCTCCCCCTGGATGGTGAGGCCTTCCATAGGGTCATCAGAGTCTGTCGTGACCTTTGGGATAGGGCTTAGGCCCACCCCCATGTGTCTTGGCTCAGGAAGTATTCCTCTATATGGAATGGGCTCCCAAAGTCCACACCTATGCTAGTGATAAGTACTGAGCTACTATAGCAGGTCCCGTAGATTTCCGAGGTTTCCTCACTGAAACCCATGTTCCTGGGGTCTGGATCAGTCCCATGCTGGTTTCCCAGCTATCAGTCTGAGGAGCAAGAGTTCCCCGATGTTCAGGTCAGCTGTTTCTGTGGGTTTCACCAGACTGGTCTGGAACCCTTTGCTCATCACTCGTCCTTCTCTGCATCTGGGTTCCAGTTCAGTTCAGTGGTTAGTTGTGGGTGTCTGCTTCTATTTCCACCAGCTGGTGGATGAGGGCTATCGGGTAGCATATAAGTCAGTCATCAACCTCATTATCAGGGAATGGCATTTAAGGAAGCCTCTCCTCTGTTGCTAAGATTGTTAGCTGGTGTCATCTTTGTAGATCTCCAGACATTTCCCTAGTGCCTGATTTCTCTGTAAACCTAAAATGTTTCCCTGTATTATGGTATCTCCATTCTTGGCATAACTGCTTTTTTAAGTCAATATTTAGTACAGAGTGCTTGGAAATGACCAAAAACAGTCCTAGGTAAGTCAATCACATTCTTTATAGGAGTGAGAAAAAATTTTTAAATGATCTAGCCCATCATATATCATTATAAAAGAACTTTCTAGATGAAGTGGATTGATCTCTGTTTGCTTGTTTGTTCTTTTCTGTTCATTTGAGGCAGAATCTCATATACTTCAGGATAGCTGCTAACTCCATGTAGTCAAGAATGACCTTGACCCCTGTTCCTGTTGCCTTCACCTCCCAAATTCTGGGATTGTAGGCCTGTTTCACATACCCAGCTCTCTTTATTTATAAAAACAAGATGTTATATAAGGGCTAGAAAGGTGTCTCTGTGTTTCATGGCAGCTGTTGCTCTTACAGAGGACCTGGGTTTGGTTCCCAATACCCACATGGTGGCCACAACCATCTGTAACTCAAGTTCCAGGAGGTCCAATGCCTTCTTCTAACTTCTGTGGACACTAGGCATGCACGATGTATGCAAACATACATGCACACAAAGTGCTTATAAAATAAACACATCTAAAAATTTAAAAAGTACATAAACGAAGATAAATCCTGCCTTAAGGTTGGAAAAAGCAGTATACCTGCCAGCTGTCTGCCCACAGATCAAGGTGTGGCCCACTCACTCTCTGGAGAATGGGAAGCAACCCATTTGGCACGAATTAACTCAGTGAGACTACCCAAAGAGAGAGGGAGAGGAAGAGGGAGAAGAGGGAGAGTTTAGGCACCTGAGGTGTCGCCCTTTTGAGAGCAGGATTTGGTGTAGTTATTTGGGACAGGTTTTGTTATATAACACAGGTTAGCCTAGAACTCAGTATCCTCTGCCCCCCCTTCCAAGTTCTAGGATTGTAAGCATGTGCACCACGTGCTGTTTCACAGTTTTATATTATTATCATGCTCCAGGTTCCTAGAGTTCCTATTGCTTTTATTGCTGTGTGTATGCATATGGCATAGGTGTGTGCCTATATGCGTGTTTGTTTATGTGTGGGTTTGAGTACATGTGTGTGTTCATGCATGTGGGAGCCAGAGGTTAGCGTTGGGTATTGTTCCTCAAGTGCTGTCAATTCTTTTTATTTTTTTTAAGACAGGGTCTCCACATGTCCTGGAACTCACTAAGAGAGCTAATCTGCCTAGCCACTGAGCCATAAGTATCCCTTTGTCTCCATTTCCCCAGCACCAGGATTACAAATAGGCACCACCACACCTGACCTTTGCTCCTTGTTTCGTTTTCTTTTTTTATCATGGGTTCTAGGTGTAGAGCTCACGTCTTCATGCTCTTAGGGCTGTATACATGACTGAGCTACCTCCTCAGCCCTTATTTTCCCTTCTCTTTTTAGAAGGTCAAAATATGTTTCTCTACTCACTTGAATTTTAGTTTTTGCATTGTCTTAAGTCCAGAAGGAGAAATCTTTAAATTGCCATCTCATATAAATTGTGCACACACGGTAGTTGAAGGTCATTATTTAAGTGTGACTGTTGTTCGCAGTGGCCTGGAAAAGGACATAGGCATGCACTTCTCCATTTTAGGAAAAGAAAAACAAGTGCTGTGTTTTCACAAAAGAATTCATCTTCTTCAGTTTCTGCAGCTAATTAAAATGTTTTGGTTCAAAGAGAAGGAAGAGACCAGATTTCTGGGTCTACATTATCCAAAGGGTGTGTTGCCTTAGAAGATCAATCATTCTGTTCCTTCTCCCCATTCCCGTTGGCACAAAGGCAAGTATCTAAACAGTGAGTGCAAATTAAGATGAATCTCAGCAGTGGCTATCTAAGATTATAGAGGCAAGCATACAGAAATGGGAACAACGAGCCAAACATTTCTCTTGGAGGTGGCAAACATGATGTGGAAATGTAGTTCCTCACCCTCAGTCATGGCAGACATCACTAACCAATTACTGAGCTCAAATGTGACCCAAGATACATTTTCTACACAATCCCCCTAGCAACCGCTACCACATAATTAACGCTTCAAATGAAAGGCTATTGTAATCTAATCATTTTACATTAGGAGAATATTGAGACCCATGAAGATTAAGTGGCTTGCCCCAGGCTGCTAGTGACTGGCTGAGCTGGGACTAGAGTCATTATTCTGTATGCTATAAAAATCCATTCTGTTAGAAACTCTGGGTCTTAGCTGACAATGGCCCAGACTTTAGAAGGGCACAGAGGAGTCTGCACAAGGTGTATCATTCCTGCCTGGTTTCTATGGCTCAGTGGAGCCCTAGGAAATAGATGAAGCAAACAGCAGAGCAGTACTGCTCCTGCAATTATGGAAATATGGGGGAAAGACAAGGAAATGAAAATATTTTCACAAACCTTGTGGGATTTTCCTTACTGAGCACTGAGGTCAAAAAGACTTCCCATACTAGCAAGAGCTCACAACAGGACCACCCAACTGTCTCAGGACTTGCTCAAGTTCCCACGGTCTGGACTTGGAAGTCACTCACAGAGGTCACGTTCTTGAACCTTTTCTCTCTGGGTGCTAGGACTCTCTAGGGTGGTAATATGGTTGCCCATAGGGATACTTTGGTGGGACCTGGGAAACAAGAAGCCACCAAATGAGGGTCATACCCGCCTGTGGTTTCTAAGGAAACAGAATCCATAACTGTCACCACAGCGGCTCCAAGTCCCAGGGTGGATGTGAGACCATGAAAGGGGGGCATGAAGGAGGCTGAATGGCAAGACAGCTCCAGCTGAAAAACTTCGTCCAGATCCAGTTTATGGCCCCTGAGATTCAGAGTGAAAATTGGTGGGCACCCTTGAGCTGCCTACAGAAACTTGAAACCAAGGCCTTAGGGGTTTTTGAAAAGAAAAAAAAAGCAGATTTTGAACATCATTAATTTGTCAATAATTTGTACCTTAGCATGCTCCACAGTACAGAAAATGCCACCAAATCACTATCTTGAACAGAAAAGGACTTCAAGATACAAACATCAGCCATGTGAGACACAGAAGGAACTGAAGCAGGTAGGAAGAGAAATGAAAAAACCTGGGACAGTAAGACCAAATTTTCCTTTCTCTAAGAGGACAGATGTGGGGAACTACTGTTTTCAGAGGGCTAGTTAGTTAAACTCTCTCCCTCGCTGGAATTCGGTTGGGAAATGCAATGGCTGAAGGCACAGAGTGTCCTCATGCTAGTTTTGCAAAGGAAGCCTGCTTGCAGGCCAAAGGGCATCCCGTGTCAGCTTGTGCACAACCCTTTGCTTTGCCAGTCTCAGGAAGGGATCACTGAGTTCTCAGGCTTCCTCAGTGCCCTTGGCCAGCAGTCCTTCCAGAGATATCACCTAGGTCAGAAGGACCAGATATTACTTTAGCAGGCACTGGGACCAGAGCACCATTTCTTGGCTTTTCTGTGCCAGCATTCCACACCCTTTGTCACATTCATCGTCACAGGCTCTGATCAGGGCTGTTTACCCAGTGGTCACAAGCACTCGGTATCCCATCAAGGATCAGTGTAGCCAGCATTTTCTGTTCAGTCACGTTTCTTTTTATGATACTGAGTTACCTGAGGTCATTTTCAAACAAAAAACAGACCTGGAACACCTACACACCCTCCCCCAGAATTCCCACCCTCAAGTACCCTGTTATCCTCTCCCTTCTATAACCCACCTTGTCCTCTGGACAATTTCACTTCTCCTTTCATATTGTTAGTACAACTATAATATTGTGTATCTATAACATCTGAGGATTATAAATAATATAAAACACGGGGTACCTTTCTGTGGTAGTTTGAATATAATTGGCCCCCTGTAAGCTCATGGGGAGTGGCACTATAGGAGATGTGGCTTTATTGGAATAGGTATGGCCTTGTTGGAGGAAGTGTGTCACTGTGGGTACAGGCTTTGAAGTCTTCTATGCTCAAGCTACACTTAGTGTAGACACAGTTCACTTCCTGTTGCCTGTAGATCAAGATGTAGAACTCTCAGCTCCTTCTCCTGCACCATGTCTGCCTGCACAGCACCCACAATGATGATAATGGACTAAGCCTCTGAAACTGTAAGCCACTCTAATTAAATGTTTTCCTTTATAAGAGTTGCCATGATCATGGTGTCTCTTCACAGCAATAGAAACTCTTTAACTAAGACACTCTCTAAGACTGGCTTAATTTGCTTTGTAAATTTTTTCCAGTCACATCCATTATCCTCAAAATGACATAATTTCATTCTTCTTAATGGCTGAATATAATTCCATTAAGTATATAAGCCTCATCTTTTCTATCCAATCCTCTGTTGTTGGACACTCAGATTGGTTCCACAATGTAGCTATCATGAATGGTGTGACAGAAAACACTGAGGTGCAAGTATCTCTGTGATGTGTTGACTTAGAGCCCTTTAGGACGATACTCAAAAGTGGTATAGCTGGGCCATACAGCAGATCAACATCCAGTGTTTGAGAACCTTCCATAAAGGCTGGACTGGTTTACCTTTCCACCAGCAATGGATAAGGGTTCAATTTGTCCACATCCTTGTCATGTTTGTTGCTATTTGTTTTCAGGAGGGTGACCATTCTGACTGGGATAAGATAGAATTTCAATGTAGTTTTGTTGTGTCCTTTGGAGGCACATTGTTACTGTTTTGCATTTCTCTGATAACTAGTGAGGTGATGTTGAACTTCCTTTTTTCATGTTTATTGGTCATTTGTATTTAATCATTTTGAGAATAATTATCCCATTTATTGACTGGGTTGTTAGATTTCTTGTTATTTAGTTTTCTTAGTTGTTTGTATATTCTAGCTATTAATCATCTGTCATATGTATAACTAGCAAGAGATACAAGCTTTTTTTTTTTTTGCTTGTTTATTTTTGGATTTTTGAGTCAGGGTCTCATTGTGCTGCTTTGGCTGGCCTGAAATTTACTATGTTGACCAGGCTGGCTTCCAACTCATAGAGATCTATCTGCTTCTGCCTCTTGAGCCCTAGTATCAAAGGTAAGTGCCACCATAAATAGCCCAACATTTTCAATGAGATGAAAGATAAAACAGAGTATTTTACATACAGGATAAGTATTAGTTTATGATACATTTGTTTCATTTATGAATATATATACATAATGCTTCCTTGGTGATATATAATTTATTATTGAAGGTCATATTTTTAAGTATTTAAGAAATCAACTCACTATAAACTGTACAGCATTCATGACTATGTAGGGAAATGGATGTTATTCCAGCTAGCTTCCTTACTAGATTTTGAAAGGTTTGTGAAGAGAAAGCACAGAGAATGAGATAATCAGAACTCTGTTCATTTCAACACTACAGCTGGGGTCTACAAACTTCTTAGAGTCGGCAGCAAGGTTTACTAGCTAGATAGTCTCTGTTGCTACCACTCAGCTCTGCAAAGCAGCTACACCCTGGGTTTGTGAGTGGATGTGCCTGTGTTCCAGTGAAACCTTAATTACAAAACAACACACCAGGATTTCTTTTTCCCTACTCTGGAGTCTTGGAAAAAAAGAAAGTGTTGGAGATGCCGTAGTCTTGGCTGTAACCATTGATATCCCCAGATTCTGAGGACAGCCCCAATTTCAAATGATCTCCACAAAACTCCAATTTAATGGAGTTCTAAATGGTCCAATTTCTGCTCCTAAAGACATCATTATGACACTATTAGGCATGACTTTACCCCAAGATTTTGTAGCTTAAAAACTCCTAAATATTAGGATGGAAAAAAAGGCAAGAGTATATGATTTGTAAGATCCCAGTGAAAGAGAAAGAGGAATGGGACAGGGTGAGAGGGAAGAGAGAGAGATTATTTTATCATTTCTGAGGGTCAAGAATCTTAGTGTGGCTTAGCTAGATGTCTCTGTCACTACATTCTGGCAGAGGTACAATCAAGCTATCAGCTGGGCTGTGGCCTTATGCAAAAGGACTGAGAAAGAGCTGCCGCCAAGTACATTCTTCCATTTCCTTGCCTGATGGCCTTTCCACGGGCAGCTCACAACATGGAAGCTGGCTCCCAGCAGGGCAAACAAGTAAAGGAACAGAGGAAGGTCAACAGGAGGGAAACCAGAGCTCTGTGTAACAACCTGAGTGATCATAGAAGTAGCCCACAGTTGCTTTTTCCACATGAGGCCCACAAGAAGTAACTCATTTAGTCCCATCCACACTCAGGGAGATTTCAGGAGACTGAATTCCAGGAACCTGTATGCAGGAAGGCCACTTAGGAGAGCATGTTGGCTTGGTTGGAGGTGGTGAAGAAGTCTACATCCTACTTTCACTCTAAGGAACAAAATGCTGCTCTTGAAGGCTTTGTTAGCTGAGTTTACTCAGTAAATGTCCTGCTTGTGTGGGCCACATGAAAAGATTCTGAGAACAGCCCTCTGGACTCCTTCAGCTAACAGAGTACAAACAATACACACAACAGTTGACCTCGATAACTCTGAGACTATAATTGCTGGCCATCAGTGGATGACAGATACAGAACAAATGAACATTTAGCTTTACTTGAAGCTTGATCATAGTTTGTGAAAGGAAAAAAAAAACATTAGAAATTCTGGAGCTGGACCCTCAGAAACATTATAAAACAACTGCAAGTAAACTGATATCCTTGGGATAAACCCATGTTTAATCTTTACATGGCCTGGAGCATAAAAAGACCAAGGGATACGGATCAGTGACTTTTCCCAATGCAGATGAGCAGAACCAAATCCAACCCCACATCAGACAAGTCCTTGGGGAACAGGATGGTATTACGGTTTCCGTGGACAGCCCACTCATTGTAATCTCTCTCCGTGTTCCCACAAGCTGAGCCCAGGATGCTTTAACAAGGTGTTGCCCTTTAAAAAGAAGGATTTAGGATTAGTTTTTCCCATCTATCCTCCCCCCAGAAATCCACCTGAGTAAATGGGCTGGCGCCAAGAAAGCATCCTTAAGCATTCATGTAAAACAGGTTGAGACTTGGCCACAGTTGCCCCATTAGGCAGAGAAAAACACAAGGAATCAAATACTCTTTTAGTAACAAAATTATAAGTTTGAACTGTTGGGGCTACTGAAAGGGGTTCAAACTCGAGTTTTGGACTGTCCTTGCTTATCAAATATATATGTATGTTAATTCCTTTGTTCCTCACAGCTACCTAGCATCATAGACACTATTATCTCAGGTTCTCAGAGGCAAGAATTAAGCTTGACTTGCCCGAGGACTTGTGACTTGTAAGTGCAGAGCAAGGACAGGTTACAACACTCAAGCTCTTCCAAGTCCTGCCATTTCTCTGTGGTTTGTGTCAGGGGTTGTCCTGATCTCCATCCTTAACACTCACTGAGCCCTGAATTAAACATCAATCACACCTGGTCCATGCTCTGCTTGTCTTCACTCTGAGAATGAATGTCATCAGGGCACTAGGAAGTAAGAACACCAAATTAAATCAGAAATGATGTCAGGCATAGAACTGCAGAACAGGCTATGGCTCTGTGAAGAAGACCTGGAAGAATGACAGTGGTCTGTGCCTTCCAAGGGTCTAGAGTCAAGGGTCAGCTTTGCCTTTTGGTAACCATGTGACCTCAGGACAGTTATTTAACTTCTCTAAGGCCCAGCTTCTTTGTAAAACATGAACAATGATTGTGTCAGTCTCATTAGGCCCCGTGCTTTGTAAATATGAAAATTCATAGCCAGCCAGGGACCCATGCCTGTAATCACAGCAGCCTGGAAGATAAAACTGGAAAATCTCCAGTTGGTGGCCAAGACTGAGCTACATGGTGAGTTCCAGACCAACTTGGGGTACTGTCTGAAAAGAGAGAGGATGGGGAGAAGATGAGGGAGAAAAAGAACAAGGAGAGATGGGATAGGAGGGGTGGGGTGGGGGAGAAAGAAAGGAAAGTGACAAAAATCTTATGTTTCTGAGAACAAGTGTCTGTAGAGTGCTAGCTAAAAGGTTCAAGGAGCATTGAGGAAGAAGAGGTGAAAAGACCCTAAGAGCCAGAGAGGTTGGGGTGACACCATGTCTTCTAGACATCACAGAACCACTGCACTTATAAACTCACAGCAGCTGTGTTTCCTGTATAAGACCTGCACAAGATCAAGCCAATCAACATTCCAGCATGGAGCTGAGGGAGCTACACACCTCTATAGATGGATTGCATAAACTGGACTCACTTTATACTTATATTTACATAACACTATTTTATATATAACATACATAATTTTATTATGTACTTTATATCAGTTTATATATTTCTATATATAGTCATGTTGTATATATGTCATGGCATTGGGAGGGGTAGAAAATGAGAGCTAGGTCTTGGAAGAAGAAAGAGTGGGATGAATATGACCCAAATGCATTGTATGTATGTATGAAATTCTCAAAGAATTAATATAAGTAGTATATTTTAAAATCTTATGTTTCCAGGGTGCTGGAGAGATGACTCAGTGGTTAAGAGCACTGGCTGCTATTACAGAGGACCTGGGTTCAATTCCCAGCACCCACACAGTCGCTCACAGCTGCCTGTAACACCTATTTCAGAAGATCTAATGTCCTTCTCTGACCTCCACACGTGGCAAAACAGACATCAAAACAAAACACTCGAATAAAAATAATGAATACATAAAAACTTTAAAAATCTTATGCTTCCATATGTTGGCAATTGCTTCAGTTGGGAACCATAAACCAGCTACTCAAATATTGACAACCAACTTAATCAGATCCATGGGCCAATGGTTTTTGTTTTTTTTTTTTTTTTTAATTTTCCAATAGAGCTCAAGTTTCCATTTGGCTTTTAAATGTGAGAGGAAAAACAAAATAACATAAATTATGCAAGTAAAAATGACCTCAGAAAATAAATTAATTAAGAAGTAGGGTTCAGTGGTTAAGCACCCTGCTATGCAAGCTTGCAGATGGGAGTTCAGATCCCAGCACACACTACCAAGCCAGGTGTGGTCCTGCACACACCTGTAAGCACATCACTAAGGTGAGTGAAGACAGAAAGATTACTGTAATTTGCAGGCTACCACCCTAGCCAAAAAACCGGAACTCCAGGATCCATGAGAGACTCTGCCTCAAAGGAATAAGATGGAGAGTGATAGGGAGGAATCCTGATGCCTTCCTCTCTGCCTCTGCATGCATACACAAGTGTGAATAATACCTGCACACTTGTGAACATACAACACATAAAAACATAAACACACAAACACATAAACACTAGTAATGATAGAATAATAAAGTTTATTTTTTAATGTTAGGGAAATAAGAATGTTTTATGATTTGAAGGCTAGGATCCTATAAACTAGGCAGATAGGTTTGGACACATACACCTGAAGGGGAAAAGAGAGAGGGAGAAAGAAAGAATGAATGAAAGAAAGAAAGAGAGAGGGGAGGGAGGGAGGAAGAGAGGGAGGGAGGGAGGGAGGGAGGGAAAAGGAAAG